ATTTTATCCAAGCCAGTTTATCTGTATGTGTAGTTCATAGAACTAGAATGGCCCTGAGTGGATCCTAATTTTATATAATTCCTGAGGTAGCAGAGCTTTTGAGCTGGTGTTCCACAATAGCCACTAGCCACATGTGGCCATTTGAATGGAAACTCATTACAATCACGAAAGTGTAAGGGGGCTTCCTTCAGCCACTAGACATATTTCAAGGGTTCTGTAGCACACTGAATGGCCCAGCAGAAAGGTGGCTGGTTTCGATTAAACAAGGCTGAGATTCAAGAAGCTAGGATTTTAGTTTTCCTGTAAGCTTAAGACCCCAGTGCCCTATAATAAAATTTACTCTTTGATGTTGTCTTACAGTATAGGGACCTAGAGGTCATGTACAAAGCGAAACTGAATTAAATATAATTTCATATATTTGATCACTCATGAGAAGATGCTTTTCAGCTTACAAAGCGTTTTCACATCCATCATCATATTTGAAGATCACAACAGCCTTTTATGATAGAAAGGACAGGTGTTCATATTTTCATTTCACAGAGGAGGAAACAGAAGCTCAGTGAAATTAGGGATGGCCAAAGCCATGCTTCTTTTTTTACAGGGACATAAAGTCAAGTCTCCCTCCAAATCCTTTCATCTGTTCATCATGTTGAAAGGTACCAAGACAGGCATTATTTTGTAAAAAGATTGTGTGTATTCAGACCATTCTGGAAGCCAGGTGCTGTGCCAAGTGTTTCTGTACATTATCTCAAGTAACCTCCGCCTGCATTGTAGTCTTAATGTATAACTGCCTGTTTAACATCTTTCTTTGAAAGTCTGACCAATTCTCAAAATTGCCTTCTAAGGTAGCAAAGTGAGAACTTATACAAGAGATGGTAGTTTATGAAGTGGAGGCAGAGAGAAATCAAAAGGCTTGGGGGACATTTTAGAGGATGACTTCATTGAACTTGTTGATGGAGAAGGAGAGACATCAAGAAAGGCTCAGGTTGTTCACATAAACCCTTAGATGGATATTGGTGATCTTTTGAGTATGCTTGCTTAAATTGTGATTCAGATAAGAGTGTCCCTTGTTTAAATTCCTCAGTGGATCTTAGAGCACAGTGCCAATTTCTCACCTTGCCTTACAAGGCACTGCATGACCTGGTTGATTCCAGCCCTTCTCCTACCTGCACCGCTATGATCCCTGGGCTCTAGCTTCACCGGACATCCTTGCTGGGCTTCCACTTCTTTTCTCCTGCCTCCTCAGGTGCTGTTACTGTTTCCTCTGCTAAGAAAGTTTGTGGCTGTTTACACTCTTCTCCTCAGGTTTTAGTGCAAATGGCAGCTCGTTCGAAAAGTTAGAGAAGCCCCTCTTACCACTTCCTAGAAAGTAGCTTTCAGCTCTTACAGTGGGGTCTACAGTACCCTGTTAATTTTCTTTGCAGCATTACATCCCAATGGAAGTTGACTTACTGCTTTCCCTGTTTTTTTTTTTTTTTTTAAGATTTATTTATTTGTGCATACAGAACTGGGGTGCAGGCCAGAAGTTCAGGGGCGGTGAGAGGCTTCACCAGAGACAGTGGGGAACAGAACAGGCAGATCAACGAAGTACACTGCTGAGGGGAGCAACGGGCGGGTCAGGAGAGGTCTGCCACGCCATGTGGTCACCTCTGGGGAAGGCGGGAATCGAACTCATGCGGAAGCAGCTTTAGATTCTCAGTACTGTGCTTTAACCCGCTGCGCCACCAGGGAGGGCCCACTTTCCCTGTTTTTTTTTCTAGGGACACTGTTGCCTGTGTGCTCTGAGATAGCTTCCTGACTTTTGAACAGTTCCTGACACATAGTAGGTACTTAATATATTCTGATTTAATAAGAAAACAATCTGAGGGGTAAGTAGTGGTATTTCCATTTTACACTTTCGGATCATTTCACATTGTTAGGTGGCACAGCAAAAAAAAATTGACACCAAGATCTGCTCTTAATCACAGAGCTTTGACATGTCTTTATTTTGAAAAATTCCCTGTTTGTTCATACACTTATTCATTAAATACTTATTGAGCATTTACAAAGTCAGTGCCAGGCACAACAGATTATGTGGGCAAATGCTGGCTCTTCAAAACTGTGAACTCTATCCCCTGTCTTCATGTAGCTTAAAATCTAGCAGGCTATTATTTTATCAGATGAAAAATAAATTATCAGTGTATTTTATATCACTAGTGAATACTTCTATAGTTTTCGCTTCATTTTGTTCCCACTGAGAACTGTTATTAAACACCTGAATAATCCAATCAAATCATATCAATCAAATCCAGTAATTCCACAACTGATTTACTATTATAAACACCACAACAAAGATTGATTAGTGTAAAAAAAATGCCACCAACTTCCTCTCACACAGAAGTGGGGGCAGGAAAAAGAATATCTCAGAATATCCTTCTGTAACCCTCTTTGGTGTCTTTCTCTTTTCAAGTTTTCCCTCTTTTTTTTTTTTGTCACCTCTCACTGAGTGCTACTTACCAAGACAGAAGCCTTTTATAATGATAATTGTAAGTTAGACTGGTCTGACATTTGATTTGGAAGGAAATCCAAATCATTTAACAAGCAAGTATTGTCTCCTTTTAAGGGCTGAAGAAACTGGCCCAGGGAGAGAAGTTCCCAGAGAGTCACATTGCCAGTGAGTGACAGCCCAACCGAAGGGAAAATGCTGAATCTCCTGTTCCTATCATCAAGGATCCATTAACAAAGGCACCGTTCTTTCTAGACAAAAATAACTGATGCAGGAACATCTAAAAACCCTTTCCTGCAGTTGTGAAGGAAAAGGACGGAAATGAGTGGGCGCTTAATCACGGCTCCCCTCTGTGCTGCTTCCTGACCCTTCTTCCTCCTGGTACTCTCCAAGAATTGCAGGAAATCGGACCTCTAGTATGGAAAAAATAACACTTAGCAAGGAAAATGGCAAACATTTCCACGGGTTCAGTTTTCTGAGGACACATTGATTAAGTTTTCAGGGATGAAGTCTCTGGAGCAAACGCAGGATTGAACCCAGGACGCAATTGCCTTGCAGCCTCTCTGGGGCAGACTCAGCTCCAGAGAATCTGAGCTGGGTGATGAGTGGGGGTTGGGGTGGAGAGCCCCTGGCATTTGGCTGCCTGGGAGGAGGAAAGAAGGCAGATTGGGCAGCCTGAATGGGCCTCTTCTTAGTCTCTTCTCCCCTGAGCCCAAATAGAAAGTCAAGACCTAGGCTGAGAAGCATGTCCAGTTTTTCGAGGACTGCACTGAGATAAAGATCTGGAAAACTCTCCCCTGAAAACCTTCAGCTTTCCGTTGAGAATAATGAGGACCAACACTTAGTGAGTATGTGACATGATCTCCATGTAGTAACTGTATTAACCTTAGATTCTTAAGGAGCTCCTCAGGGAACGAACAGAGGGGACCTATAGGGGGATAATTTTAAAATAATGGCTGGTTGTGTTTCACAATACTTCTACATTTATCTTTGACTAGAAGGGCTCCCAATGTTTTTGGAACTTATTCCATACCTAGACAGAAAGTGCTGTCAGGAAAACTTGACAGATGGAGATGGAAATGTGGGCCAATTTCTCTATTCAGTCACATGTTTTTTTGTTTTTATTACTACCACTACTATTAACATTATTATTTTTGCATCAGTTTCACTGAAGTGATGTTGGTTTAAACACTGTACATAATTTAGGGATAAGGGTCATAGCTCATCAGATGTAGATTACCACACAACACTCACTACCCAAGTACCCATAATCCTCTACCATCGTCCATTGGGTTCCCCTCTTCCTTTACCCCCACATTCCCACTCTTTTCTGGTAACCTCAATTCTGCAGTTCTATTTTTAGAGCTTGTTCTGGTTTCATCTGTTCCTTTGTTTTGTTTCTTTCTATTCCACTTATGAGTAAAATCATGGCTGTATGTTTTCCTCCTTCTGATTTACTTTGCATAGTATAAATTCTTCCAGTTCCATCCTTGTTGCAAATAGCAAGATTTCATTTCTTTTAAAAAGCTGAGTAATATCTCATTGTGTACATATATCACATCTTCTTTATCCACTTATCTCTTACTGGGCACTTGGTTTGTTTCTGTAAGGTAGCTACTGTAAATAGTGTTGTAATAAATACAGGAGTGCATTTATTTATTCCCTGAAGTTACTATTTTGTATTTTTCTTGCTGGATTGTATGGTAGATCTATTTTTAATATTTTGAAAAATTTCTATGTTGTTTTCCAAGGAGTTGGACCAGTCACGTTCCCACCAAGAGTATACAAGTGTTCCTTTTTCTTTACATCCTTGCCAACACTTGCTACTGGTAATTTTGAAATGGACCATTCTTCCAGGTGCGAGATGGATTCTCATTACAATTTTGATTTGCATTTCCCTGATGATAAAGTGATGATGAGCATTTTTTCATGTGCCTGTTGACCATCTGTATGTCTTCTCTGGAGAAGTATCTATTTAGCTCTTCTGTCCATTTTTTTTTGCTTAGTTTTTCCTTTCGTTGAGTTACATGGTTCTTTGTTTTTCTGTAGCTGCTAAATGTTAGCTTTTTAAGCTTTTTCACTTAAGAGACTCAGGCTGCAAGTCCAGTTAGGCAAAGAGAAAACAACACACAAATAATGAGTGTAGAGTTCTATAGGATAATAGCATTAAACACAAAAGGTTTACCTCAGAAATACTGAACTACCGGTGATAAAGATTTTCCTTAGTGTGCGAAGCTATGCCTGTTGTCAGTGTAGGAATGGCCTCTGCTTGTTGCCATATGCGCATCCAGTGTCTAGCAGAGATCAGCTAAGATAAAACATTCTTAACAAATTTTTATTTCATGAATGGAGAGATGAACAATTCTCTGGGACCATTCAAATTCTTTGGATCAAATACTTCTTGTATTAAATATTTCTTGATGTTATATTAACAAAAAAATAGTAAAGGACTTAACATTTCATGTCATCTATATTTTTAATTTTCAGGAAAGAAAACGGGAAGCCCAGAAAGGCTAAGTGATTTGCCTCAGGTCACAACTCACCAGAGACAGTTAGGAAAAATGTTTCTAGATTCCTCATTTATTGCGCTTTCTGCCTGTGCCCTGTATTCGCTCTCACTGAAGTAATAAGGAAACTCATCTAACTGTAATGAAATTATGTTAGTTTTTTTCCTCCAGTGCTGTAACTTTCCTCTTGGTTGTCATGGAACTGCCTTGCTCTGATTTTCCCCTCCTTAAATCTTTTGAAAAGACACGTGGCAGAAGTGTGGACGAAAAGGAGCTGGTGATTCTGGAATTGGGTCAATGCAAGTGTTGGACCATATTCTAATGGATGCACTTGAAAAAAACAGAACAATTTGCAAGGACATACTCCATCCCAGTTGTAGAGGGGGACTACTGTCCATCACCCTGCAGAAAGGCACAAAGTTCGCTCTCTTTTCCTCCCGTCTGTGTCCGTGTCCTCATTCTGGAAGGATGAATGTCGGGTGCCTCACCACGGCTCGCCTGTCCCCCTAGCAACAGCTGAGCCAGCCAGCAATGAGCCTCAGACCTAGCCTGGACAATTACAATTTTTCCTGTGGGAAATTAGAATTGGGACCCTGAGACAGTCAGTTCCTGTTGGGAGCCAGGTGGCAGGTCCTGTGGAGCCTGGAACTGCAGGAGTTATTGAGGGCAGGGGGGGGGGGGGGAAGATGTGCTGAACCATATGCAATGTAAGTACAAGCAAAGAAGGTGACTACTGGAAAGAGGGGCAGTACACACAGGCCAGGATAAAACAGAAATGGCATGAGAGAGAGGCTGAGAGACACACAGAGAGTCCCTCCCCCACAAGGACTTTTGAATTCCCTCAGAGACTATTTTTCCCAAAGCAGGTTTTCATGAAATCCTCCTGCACCTTTTGATTAATCTTTTTATCTTGCTACAATGGTAAATTTTTTGTTCCTTGCAAAGAGAGATTTGACTTCTGAGTTTGAGAACCCAAAAGGCAAAAGACATCTTTTGCTTTTAAAGAGCCAGGTGAACAGGCACTGGGAAAGCGAATACTTACAACTTTGAGGATGAAGGAAAGCAGAAGAGAAGAGAGCCTGCAGAAACTGGAAAGAGAGCCAGAGAAGACCAAGGTGTAGAGAAGAGCCCCCTGAAGATGAGAGGAGCTGGGTGAAAATGGCGGCCTTCCAGATAGCCCCTTGACTCGGTGCCCAGTCGGTCTCATTTATCATCCCCAAGAGCCAATCAGCTGCTCATCGCTGCTGCACAGGGAGAGCATCAAAGGGATTTAATAATGGTTGGCAAATGTCAAATTACATTGAATCTAAACCAAATTCCAGACATTTAGGGCTGCGTAGTCATTAACAATCAATTAGTGCACTTGCTTTTCAGTCAAAGCATTTTTTATACCCTTTCCTTTCCACAACAAGAAAACACATGCTTTGCTTCTCCCCCCCCCCCCCCCCCCCCAAGCGCCTGAGCAATGCCTCCCTCCTAGAGCTTAGTCAGTGAAGGGGCAATTTAGTGCTGTCCTCACGCGGTTGCGTTTGCGCCTTTGGTTTCCAGACCACACATTCAGGTGTGGAAGGAAACATTAAATGGCGTTGGTACATCTCATCCTGCCTCCAGGGGCTTTGGCAAGAGAAACTGGTCGTTTCTCTCTCTTTCTTGGGAATCATGAAGCGATAAAAGGTAGAGAGGATGTAGGAAATCATCTAAAATCTTTTCTGAGGTGGAAGCCAGGGACTTTTTGACTTTGTTCCTTGAGGAGCTAAGCATACCAATTACCAGCAGGGCATTAGGTGGCCTGAGTTCACCTCTAATGGCCAGCACGTTCTCAGGCAGCAGGATTACATTCTAGCTACAGAGCCGTAAACATTTACCACAAAACAAGACATCGCTCTATTGATTGCTGAGAATCTGCTTCATCCTTCCCTTTCCAAATTAGTTCAGATTTATGGCAATTCCCTTCCTGTTCTGTGAGCCAATCACCTCATCCCGGAGGTGCTGGGGGGCGGAGGGCCGTGAGAGCTGGTATCTCTGTCCCACATTGCCAGGAGTGCGTTCACAACCATTTTGAAAATTCCTTTTGGTCCTCATTTTCCCTGCTAGGTTTTCCACAGGCCTATATTTAGAATAACTTTCTCAGAACATAAAGAAACCCATACTCTCCAACTGTGACATGTATTCTTCCTCTAGAGCTGATAAAGTCTGGATGTAAAACTGGGCTTAGCGCCAAGTGCTTTGTTGACCGACAGCAATCAGAGGTCTTCCAAGCTCTTAATCTCAGGGAACTTCTGCTGAAACCATGAACTTCAGTGGTGTAAAGGTGGCTGTGGCCACAGAAGGGATAGGTTTAAAAAATAAACAGGACATTACACAGAGAGGGCATCTTTGACATCTCAGAAGCCAAGGACAGAGACTAGTCTTGCACCCAGAGAGGGTGAGTTTTGGGGCTTCCCCTCCTCCCCCAAACAGGGCATCCATTAGAGATCATCTCATATCAGTACAGGACAGAGCTGCTAGGCTCAAATAAGAGGATGGAATTTAACCAACAACATGAAAACTCTCCCACCAGAAGCCTTTTCTAAGCAAGGACCCAGGGAAAGTTCACGTCAGTCCCTTTCCAGGAGAAGGTTCCTGGGGCTTTGCCTGATCAGCTACCTCCTTGGAAGCCACGCAGTAGCAGGAACTGGAGTAGGTGGTGGTGACAGCTCCAGACAAATGCAGCCTCATGAAAAGACTCTGCACTCAAGAGCAAGTCACGCGTCTATATGGAAAGCTTATTTTTTGTTACAGAAGGAAAACTCAAAGAAACTTACTTACAAATATGGCTTTGCTGTGTGTCTGACTTTTTCTCAGATTCTGAGATACTCTGAACATGAACCTGAGAGAACCTGTTAAAATGAAATTCGATGTGCAGGCACTGCACATTTAAAAAAGAACCTTCCATGGCATATTTAAAAAAGAACCTTCCATGACTCTGCTGCAGGTGGTCATATCACACCTCACTTTGAGAAATGATGCACATGGCGGGCTTCTGAGTACATTTGAACAGAAGTTAGTTTCTACTCAGGGAATAATTGTTGCTACATGAAAGTCCACCTGTATTATAGTGCAAAAAGTCGATGGGGATTTACATGTGCTATTTTATAATCCTGACTCTCCCCGATTCACTAAATAGCTATTTATAATCGTTCATGCATCTTGTTAACAAACACGCCAGTGGGGGCGAGTGTATGGCCAATACGTCTTACACGACGACACACCTTCCAAATGGCCAGTACAGTGCCCTGAGCATCTCAGCACCAGCAGTGAAGATGCGGTAGCAACCCCCTCCTCATCACGGTGCAATCTTCTCTTTCTGTCTTCACCTAAAAAAACAGGAAAGCAGTCAAAACCATTATTTTCATAGTGTCATTTTAAATTATGCTGAAATGCTGACATCCTTCCATTGGGAGTTAACGACATAATAAAGCAAGAGGAGGAAGAGTTCGGGGAAGAAAGGGCCAGCTCATGAAAGCCACACAAACAGGCAAGTCCAGCCTGCTTTTAGAGCTAGTTTCCTAGTATGATGTTTGCAGCTAAAGGGGGAAAGAAGAAGAAGAAGAAAAAAAAAAAAAACAGGAAGATAAAGAGCTAAATAAATAAACAAATTAATTAATTAATTAAAAAACATAGCAAGTAAACAAAAAGCAAAATTGGGAACAGAAAGGCCTTAGAAGTTATACTCAAAGATGAGATTCAAATTTTGGCCATTCACTGTCGCCGTATACTATGTACATTTGAGTGCAATTAGATTTTTCTTAACAGACAGAGAAAATGGTTTTATGACAAATTGGACATCGAGTCAATTCATTTAAAGTTCTCAGTGGCAAATCTTTCCATCTTTGTTCCTAGGAATTCACCAGACCATGTAAAGGAGATCAGGGTGTTTATACGGGCTCTTTGAGTAGCAGCCCATAATTCCAGCTCCAATACTCTTCAGAAGAGTCTCAGACATAATACCAGAATATGCTGTATTGTGATAGGTGGAAAATGCATTATTGCTCCTTTGGCTCTGGAGTGATTTAGAGCCCAAAAATGAACACCCTTTCAATATTCCCCCAGTGACTCTACTACACCCCATCTTTAGGAAGTTGTTGCTTCGAGAAGACTTGAGTCCAGCAACTAGATATCTGTTACTGCCATTATTATCTAACCAGAGGCCACCATTGGCCTTGTGATAAGCTCTAACCAGAGGCCACCCATCAGATTCTTGTGATAAGCTCTGAAGACCTAGGTTCAGTAGCTTCTCCTTTTGATCACATTGGATATACTGCCAGTAATACAACCTTGCTTCAGCCCCTTTATAAAGTTGTTTGTTATCCTGTGATTCCAAGTGATCACAAGATGGGCAAGAACTATCTTCCTACCTATCTGTCCTTCTTCACCTCCTGAATGCCAAAGCTGACCTATTGCTCTGCATTTTTTCCTACCCATTATCCCATATCTCTCACTCTCCTTGTCTTTAAGAGATTTTCTTGAAAAAGATTGGAATAAACTCATTCACATGCAGATACATGTGCTGAATAAAGCATTAACAGTTACCTCTTCCTGCTTAGCCATAGTTTAAAAGTGGAGAAACTATTAGGCAAACAGTAAGTATTCTATAGTAGAGTAACAGGTACCTGCAAGATACTTGAAAAATCTTTTGGGGGCTGAGTTGCAAATTTGTGTTGATTGTCTTGGCATTGGCCTAGGATCCTAGGAAACAGCCTTCCTGCCATGAAGAAGCTGTTTTTGAAGCCATGCCTCACTGTGAAAGCTCTGGCATTGACTGTTGATTGGGGGGCAAGAGGAAAGGGTGACTTCCTTGATGCAGTCAACGCCTAATATTCAGGGCTCCATTCCCAGAATAATGGCGTGACCTGGCCCTGGGCCCATCACTGAAAGTGCCTCTCCCTGAGGGAAGATGGGTGTTCCAGGGATGGGAAACAGGCAGACGATGCTCACTCCCCTCACTCACAGCCACATTATCTTCCTCCTAAGGGAACTTTGGGTCCTTAAGTAACTTCCCAGTCATCAGATCAGTCTTTATTAAATTTTCACATGCACTTAGTTTTAGATTCAATTTGAAATGAGCTCCAAGGAGCATCATATGGACTAAACAATTAGCTAAAGTGAAATGAAACGGCATAGATTTGAGAGAATGGGCTGAAACAGCACCTCTCTTATACCACCAGCAGTAATGGAAGGTTTTAGGGTAACACAAAGGTGAACACTTTTTAGGTTAAGTTACGTATTTTTTTATTTGTATTTGAAGGAAAAATAGTCAAAACAGTGGTCTTAGGAACATATTTGCTCAGCACAAAGCTAAAATAGATGTTCTAGGATGTAAAAAGTGGGTTTATTTATTTTTAAAGATTTATTTATGCTTACAGAACTGGGGTACAGGTCAGAGGTGTGGTGGGTGAGAGAATTCACCAGAGACAGAGTGGGGAGCAGAACAGTCAGATTGACAAGGTAGCTGCTGAGAGTAGCAGTGGGTGGGTCAGAAGAGGTCTGCCACACCATGTGGGTCACCTCCCTTCCTGGGGATTGAACTCCTACTGCAGTGGCTTCTGAGAGCTTCATAATGCGGAGCTTTAACCCGTTGCACCACCAGGGAGAGCCCTATTTTTAAAGACAAATGAAGGAATAGAAAAATGGTAAGGAAATGATACCACAAGAATCCTGCAGGTTATACTCAAGTGGCAAAGTTTAAGAAACACCAAGGCCAGTAGAGGATACCATGGAGGGACCACCTGGGTAAACCCCTATTGTGCAAGGTGTGTGCTGTATGATCTTGGGTAAGTTGCAACCTCTCTCAGCCTAAGTTTAACAGCGGCATTGAAGGAGATCTCCGAGATCCCTGCCAATTCTAGCAAATAGTGGTGATTATATTATAATATATACTGTAGGTTGCCATCTATAACCAGTAAGGAGAACGTTGAACCAGTCTTGCCAGCGGTGATGTCACTGTTAGACACACATAAACATCGAGTTAGGTCCTGTTTCTTGAAGCAGCGAATTGTGAAGAGAAGTTCACTGCATTGGCGTCAGGGGACTTACACATCAGCTCTGCCTCCCCGTGTCTCCTAGGCCTTCCTAACATCACAGGCTTTCCGAGAACCCATTTCTCTATCTGTAAGGGCAAAGGGTCATGGTGGTGAGTGATCCCTATTCCAATACTATGCAGTCTCACTGGACAGCTCAAAAGCAGTGTAAGTGAAAAATTCTGTACAAACCTGTTCTTCCATCCTCTTGTGACTCTCTTTGCAGCATTTCATTATTTTAAAGTACAGTGGCATGTATAACAAATTTACAATCAAGCAGAATTTTAAAAAATGCAACAGGTTAAAGTCAAGCCAGCCAACAGTGATAGTTTTTAATAGATCATAGAACGTGTATAATGTTGAAGGACTCGAGGTGCTTCATCATGCATAAACCAAACTACCATCACCCATCACTCACCTCCAAAATCTTGTTCCAGTTAAAAGTTTTAACCATCTCCTCTACGAAAGCTGCCATTGTAAGAGGAAGATGAGCCAGCTAGAGTAAATTATTTCTCAATTCCACTCAGCTGTGCTTTTTACAAAGTTCCTTCCCATGTGCCTAGAGTTCCCAGTGACAGATACACAGCTCAGCTTGTGTCACCCAGTTGATGCATGTTACGCCCTTGGAATACCCAGGTTATACTTTCAGACCACTGCAAGTTAAAATCAAATTACAATTATTTTTGCATTTACTAAGTGACTAAGCATGCTCCTGTGATCTGCTAGTTGACAAGGGTAAGGCTATTGCTACAAAATAACACAAAGAACTTTCGCTTTGAAACAGGAAGGACACTGTGGAGAAAGGAGAGTCACCCAGTTATCAGTGGGGAGCACTTAGCACAGGACCATGAAACTCCACTCTCGAGTCCTCCTTGAATTTGTATTCTACTGTAAATATGAATGCTCAAAAAGTTTGTGCTAATGTCTATTTTTAGACATTAGTTAAGCATAATTATTCTTTAAATATAGAACTTCAGTTGCCCATAATACTCATGTATGTCAACCATCTTGTTACTTTATCCAAGTGATACCCCCTGGTCCTTCTGACTTTCCAGCACAGTTCAGATTGTTCTCCATCTACATGACCAATTGGATACTCTTTCACAAGTCAGACTTACCACTACAAAACAATAGGCCTTTTCTGGGTATTACTGCAAAGCTATCTTAGCTTTCCTCAGAGAAATGCCTAGGCAAATGACTTTGGTCATGAAAATTAAATAATTCCTCTGGTCACGGGGCTGCTGAATAACCAGGGATTGAAGATAAGTCTGTGGACTTCAGATCAGTTTCTCCCTTGTCGGGGAGGGTTGCTTATTGTCCAGCTCACTTTCCTGCTCAGGAGAAACAGCAGCTGACGTGCAATTTTCAGAGATGTTTTCCTGCAGCATTTACTATTCTCGTTACCTCAAGTTTTATTTGAGCAAAGACACCATCACTAGGCTTCCAACCCTCCCACAACACTCTTCATACATACTTTCCTTCAGACACAGATCAGCCGTACCTGTGCTAATACAGCAAGTTCAGTCACCATGGCTGTGGTCTTCAATGTGAGCATTCATTGGAAAGCTCGTCAGATTCATCTGATAAGGGACAAAAATTACTTACCATTGTATCCACTTCCGTAAGTCTAAAGTATGAAAAGCAAGCTGGATAGCACCACGTTTGCAGATGTGACAAAGGTGTTTCTGGCTGTTTCCAGTGAAAGGCCCTACAGTCCAGGAGAATCCCTCGCAAAGGGGTATTGAGAAAATAACAATAGCACATACTCTGCTTTCCTCTTTGATTTTTTTTTCCTGAAGTCATATGTGGAAGAGATTTTTAGTCAGTGTTCTTTTCAGTTCTGGGATTGTTCTCTCGTCCTTTCATCTCCCTCGTTTGAGGTTGCTTATATTTGCATGCACCTTCTTGTATTATGTATTGGGACCCAGGGGTGTCTCCCTCTGGCCTGGCTAGCCCTTCTCTACGTTATTAACAGCCATCTCCCGCAGACTAAGACTCCCACCCCTCACTAAATCATCCCCTTCAGGCTCCCTCTTGTTCCTCCTCCCCAGACTGCTTTCCAAGTGGACGCTCCTATAAAACACAATCACAGAACAAACCTGCCCCTTCTCTCACCAAATACTGCTTTCACAAGCCTCTCCTAGTCCCCTACACAAACAGGATCCTTTAACCCTCCTTGTCTTAAAATACTGCTCTTCATAACCTCTAACCATTTCCCTCCTCTCCTCAAAAAAAAATTAGTTTGTCTTCACTGTTCCTTCTTATTTGGGCACTAGGTACCTCACTGAAACCATAAAATACACCTCCCCCTCACTCCCCACCAATAACTTCCCAAAGAAAAATGACGTAATACAATCATTTGCATTCCCTTCTCTCTGAGGAAGAAAATTCTTGTGAAGTAGGTAAGGACCCACCCTTGCATTTCTCTCAAGACTTTTTCCTGCTCAGTTAAATTAGCTAAGGAGAAATACAGTAAAGCATTCCAAGGCCAAACACATTCTACTGTTTATTACACATATTACATTCTTAAATAAAAATGCGTCACATAACATTTTTTGCATAGATATCTTACAATATACCAATTTAAAAAAGAATTATGAAACAGACCAGTAACAAAAATAAATTTTTTCTTCATTAATAATTTTGTAACATTAACATACCACCATCATATAATACAAATAATAGTTTTAAATCTTAAGACTTTTGTACAGCAAAAAAACTTGACAAAGTAATATATTTATATATATATATATAAAAAGCTTAAAAAAAATAAAATGTCAAAAAAAGGCATAACCAAGGGCTATAAGACTGGGTACTTCTGTGATATATTATAAATACCAGAGAAGGCCTGAGAGAATGTGACGGGGAGGTGGGGGAGGGGAGGGACTGGGAGTAGGTCTCTCCATACACACTTGTTAGACACATCTGGCAAAAAAGAAAATGTATAGTGCAAAAATAAATCTTTTCAAGCCAACTGTTAAGAGGATAATAGAGATTCGAAAGAAAAGTGGTGGTGGCTGGGAGGTTGTGTGGTGGGAATAGGGAGGAGGAGATGAGAGAGAAGGACTTTGGGGGGATCTGTGGAAAGGAAGGGGAGGCTTCAAAAACATGAAACATTTATTTTTGCCTCTGTGTTAGCAAGGGGATCTTGGCCATAACAGGTGTATTTTTCCTCCCTGGAATGAAGCAGAAGTGGAAAGATAAGGAAATTAAACTAAGTCTGGGCACAGACAGGAAATGCATGCTGGGGAGAAAGAAAGAGGGGTGAGAACCAGCCAATGAGCCCAAAAGCCTTTTGAGACCTAGATTTGCAAAAATCATTCTGCCTATGGTCTAAAGGCCCAGGATTAAAATGTCCCTGGCCCCCCACCCACGGCCTCTCCCCTCTTTGTGGAATTCCCAGTGTGATTTCAATATACTGGCAATGATAAGCATCCATCCCCCCCAAAAGATATTAGGCACTGGTGGCTACTCCTCTTAAACGTCAGTAGCCTAACTGTTTTCCTTCTGCGAAGGTACAACAGGTACAGATGCACACACAGGAGTGTGCACACATACCACCCTCATTATTCTGACGTGGGGTCCATTTTATGGCAGTAGACAGAAGCTGGAGTCAAAGCAAGTTACGATTCCAAAGCTCAGTTGAAAAAAATTGTATAAACAGTCCCCAACAAAGAACACATCAACCTTCCCTCGTGACCATTGAGAGGGAGCCCTGTTTGAAAAGAGTATCTTGTTTGGGATTTTTGTGAAATGACAGAGTAGGATTTCTCTCTCCATTTTTGATACCTGTTTCCCGAGGACTTATACGTAAATGCAAAACACCAGAATACAGTACTATATTGGAAGGATGCACATAAGAAAGTTAACTGCAGCTTTATTTTTCCCTTTTCTGGGATCTATTAGGAGTCAACAGAGAAGATTTTAAAGAGTGTTAAAAGCAAGAGAAAGCCCTGACACTTCAGGCAGTTAGTCATGGGATCTCACATTTACAAGCAGTTGTTGCTTCCTTTGACACATTTTGGTTGTTCCACCTCAAGTATTTGCAAAGATCCTCACTGAGGAAAGTAGGCCATCAGAGGCACTGATGTTCACATGGGCTAACCCCTCTAAGTTTTCAATTTGAGATATTGCCATGCCTACCGAAATTCAATCCAGACCCAGGATGCAAATTCTCTCCTCTTGTCCTCACCCCATACTTGGCAGATGGACACCTCTGGAAAATGCCAGGGAAAAGCTTCCACCAGTGTATTTCAACCGGGTCCTACGTAATGAATTTTCACTTTGGCAAAGATCTGGGTGCAAAGTCATGGCCAGAAATGCTGGCCCTCAGAAAGTTATAAAAGAAAGAAGTCATAACCTGAATTTTTGCTATTAAATGTAACCTTCTCTCTAACTTACCCTACCTTCATCTTTCTCTTAAAACCAACTCATGCTACTACAGAGAAAACAAAAGCACTTTGCACTGTATTTTACGTTTTATGAAGTGACTTCCACAAGGGAAACCATTCTGAACCAATAAAACTAATCACTAACCTATGCTGTCTTTATAATCTCGGTCCACTTCTTTTGGCTTTGCCAGAGAATTCAGGAGCAGAGGGGCAACTACAGACAGAGCGTTCTGATTGCTCTGGGTGAGCACCCTGGAAATCCCATATTTCCCCTTAGATGCAAGTAGACATGGCTAATCAGGAAGCTTATCCCAACACAAGTCTTTAAAAAATCTTCTCTGGCTTCTAGAGTCAAAGAAGGTTTTTTTTTTTTAAAACTAGGAATCAGTTCTGCTAATCATGCATGAGGCTGGCTGTCGTTTACCCTGTAATCATCAGGCAAAGATGTAAAAGGACGCACGAGGTGCAGGAGGGGCCTTTGCAGGAGTTGGCAAGGGCAAGCACTAGAGAGAAGGAAACGGTCAGCATGAAGTTCATCTTGGGGTCTCCAATATTTTTATAAAATGCAGCTTTGTCATGGAATCCGAACATCTCTTTTCTGGACATAATACTCATCACCACCAGGCATTAAGCTGGGTCAATTAACCGTAGGTGGGTTAGCCATCAGTGGGGCAGGAAGCCAGTAGCTAGGAGCAGCATTATAATTACAGGTTTCCACATTTCTGATATTCAGTCATGTGGGAGGAGAAAGAAGCACAACTTGAAATAAAGAAAATTGTCCATGGCTTAGAAACACTCTTTTACTATACACCAAACTCTGAACCCTGGATAGCGCGCGCTTGAGAGGACAACCACGAGAAACACCAGGTCAGGTTTTTTGTTTAAATTTGGGATCCCCTGGAATGTTACAAGGTAACAATTGACATGAGCAAGTGGTCTGGTAAGTTCGGGGAATGATCCAATAAAGCACTGTTTTAAATTACCTGTCCTCTGGCAAGCACCAGCTCTTCGGGTAATTTTTTGGAGAGCCTGCTCTCCTCAGGCTCTCCCCAACCATCTCTGCCATTTCAGAGGAGATGGGTATTCTGTTGCAAATCTCTTTCTAAAATGATTAGGGCCACCCCCATTCCTAGGGATAGGACTGGTTATCACTCAAAGGTGTTCACTGGGCTAGAGAAGAACAGTTTCAAAGCCATACACATAGCACCCACCAATTCTCAGGCCAAATCTCACAGTCACCAGATGACTCGGGAGCAAGCAAGCCACCATCTCGGTTCACGCACCCTGCTTCGAGAAAGGTCAGGAGCAGATGACAAAGGACCTCACTCATACAAAAAGAGAGGAGTCACCAAACATTGCAGACACCAGGAGGACCAAAGGGCCTTTGTTCTGCCACATTCAAACGAGATCTTGTCAAGACCACAGATGACAAGAGGGAGCAAACAAGTGACGACGCAGTGATCGCTCTTTTGCTTTTTTTTTTTTAAACTTTCCTTTTAATAGAGCCTTGCATTGGCCAGTTCAAAAATTAAATTATTTACTATAAACCCTTAATAATAGCATTTCGAGAGGCAAGAGCAGCTTCAGCTGGGGCGAGGACATTTGTCACTGGTGGCAGCCACAGCTAACGCCGTCGCTGGTGTGCGTGCATTGTGCTGGAGGCTGCTACAGAAAGGGGTGTCGAGGAACCAACAGAATCTGGGTGTCTAAAGTTTCATCTAGTGCACTGACTGGAGGCACCACAGTTTTATACAGCTGAGGTTCAAGGTCCCTCACGCATCCTGCCTCCAGAAGGGATGCACCACACATTCAAATATAATCCAAGGTACGCCCTGATGGACTGGCCACAAATGCAGTAGAGAGTTACGAGATTGTCAGCAAGCAGTGCTCCAGAAATTGTTTCTAAGTCATGTCTAGTTTTAAATCTTTGGAATAAAACGGATTTTTTTAATACTCTCCAACTAACATATACATAATTGCCTCCGGCAAATGGGCAGATTTTGTGTGTGTTGTGTTTTAGGGTGGTTTTTCATTTTTGTTGTTGTTTTTGGTCTGAATTGAAAAAAAAAAGTTAGAGAAAGAAAATTCTAAGGGCCAGACCTCAAAATGCCCCAAGTGTCCAATTGGCAGCTACAGCATTTGTCATAAGGAGGCTCCTTTACCCTCAGACGAGTAGTTTCAACATTTCATTGAAATCAAAGTTTGCAGAAAGCTGAAAAACCAAATGCCAAGGATCTTGAAGGTTGCTGTCATAAATGTATTTGTTTCTTATATTATTACTTCCTTGTAAAGACTTCAGTTTTGCATCCCAAATAGGTACGGGTGGTATTTTAACAGTCAATGAGTCAAACAGTCAGAGGAGGGCAGAGGGGAGCCAGCTGGTATGAAAGAGCAGCAACCATGTGCGGACCAAATGCCACTTTTGTTTTTTAGACGTGTCTCAAAGGGATGGTCCCAGAATATACAAAATATACAATCTGTCCTAATAACCACCCCGCTTGCTTGCATAGGCCATGCAATGGTCCTAAAGGCAGTCTTTGGAGTTGAGGCCAGTGCCAGCTAGCTAAGAATGCGGGTAAAGACCGAGACTGGATGTGTGTGAGGGATGGCAAGTGAGGAATGTCAGCCCCTTGGAGTCAGCTTGCAAAGTGTGAGGCCTCTGTTGATCCTGGGTGCTTTTGGTCACAAGTCATGTGGGCCTAGCTGGTTACAAAAAAAAAAAAAAATAGAAATGTGTCTCTCTCTAGACAGACCACGAAGGAAACACCTCAACCCTTTCCTTACCTGTCAACCCTCCGTACCCACAATGGCATTCTGAATGGAGTGTTTTAACATGTGGGGTCCTATGAGCTCAGTGGGCGTGAGAGAGGAAGAAAGGATGACGTTTTTTGAAGCCACTAGACTTGGGAGGCATCCTCAGTTTTCCCCACACCTGGAAAAAGTGATTTTTTTTTTTTTGGCTTTTTGTCAGGTCATAACCCAGAGTTAGGTCACATATGCAGCTGCCCTTTGAGACTAGCGACATCTATGCTGAGACTGGTTCTAGGGTGGCCGTAACACCGGCACAGGGTTGATCGCTATGAGCCGAGACCATGATGCCTCAAGGAAGATGAGAGAACTGTGATGTCCCATCTGATTGGCTGCTTCGAGAGCTGGACATCCAGGTGCCGAGAGTCCTGGAGAGGTTTAGTCCATGGAGAAAAGATAAAACATTTAAGCTTCCAAATAAGCTTTTCAAGTTTTCGTTAGCAAAAACAGAGAGATTAAAAAGAAAAAATCTAGCACTGGCAATAAGGTGAGGCTCAAGGGATACACTGTGATTTATCATCAAGGACTTTATTCTCTTGGCCACTTTGCAGTCATGCTAGAAGTTTCCAGAATCCCTAGTGCATATGGTGTGCAAGAGTCAAAAAGTAAGAAAAGAAAACTCCTCCCTGGAGAGTGAAGTCTAGAGAAATGCAGGCCAGAAAGGTGTTAGGTGTTATTCCAGAGTCTGCCGCCGCTAAGGCCGTTGGTTTTGACTCGAAAGATCTCAATAGTACTAAGTAGAACCAAAACTGATCAACAGTTCTGTGAGGAAGTTGGACGCACGGAATAGTAGGACTTTTCACACACAAAGGACAGATAAACCAAGAGTTAATTTTGGCTACCAAACTGCAATTTGGTTTTCTAGGTCATTTTCCCCCAACTATTTCAAAAGAAACATTAGGCTACACAAATGCAACTTTAGACGTCGTATTCTCCTATCAAGTTGCACTGAGAAGCGAGTTAAATAAGCCCCTCTTACTGCCGTCCATCTGCTGAGACATCATATCCATTTTCTTTGATTTCCATTGGCAACAGCGGGAAATAATTCCAATAGTGCTGGAGTCAGCAGCCAGTCTGCCTTGCTGAGTTCACCTGCTTTCCTTCTTCGTCTTCCACCATCTGGCTAGGGCAAGGCATAAAGAATAGACGTATATATTTTAAATATAGCTGAGTGCATGACAGTGTGTGTGTGTGTCTGTGTGTGGGTCTGTGTAGGTGTGTACACAGAGGTTTGTGAGAACTTTCTTCTGCAGGGCAGAGGGTCCCCGCTTGAAGTCCAGCCCCTGCGCCTCACGGCATTTCCTTTAGACGACGGCCGACGCCTTGCCAACGCTGGCCTTCCGGATTTTTAGATATGTCTCTTCATATGGAGGGCAAGATGGTCAGACCTGGAAAAACACCTAGGAAATAAAAACAACAACACGGAGATGAGAGAGGTGCACGTGAAGACCTCAACTTCCATTGCCCCTTAGAGAACGATTAACCCTCCCTCGAAGACATTGTAGATTTCAGTCCTGAAGTTTGTAACCTCCCTTACACATTTCAGCCTGGCCATGAAAGCCCAGAAATGCTGCCAGGAGTTCCTACAAGGTTTAAGCAGATGCTCTAGATTCAAGCCAAGGAAAAGAATGGAGAAGGAAGCATATGAATGCGTGTGGACTAACAAGCAGGCAAGTGTTTGGCATTTACTACTATAACCCCAGTGACAGCCTCAGGAAACTTCCACAGTAATATGCACGCTTCTTCTGTGCTTGTGTGCAGTAAGGAAACTGAGGCTGGGGTGACAGAGCTGCGTGACACTGGGACACTGGGAGACCCACCACCCCCCTCTTTCGAACTGTTTCTTGGTGCTGAGTGCCTACAGTGGGTGAGTCCTCAGCCTCCGAGGGGGAGTAGCTGGCATCCCCTCCCCCTTCCTCTGACCCCAGCAACAATATCCTGCCTTCAACTCTTCTGCACTCTCACTTGTGTGGGGCTGCCCCTCCTCCTAAGACTGAAGTCCTGGCCACAGCGCACTGCTAAGAACCACCCTGTGGCCCCTTAACGTCAATCTGCTGAAACTACTGGGAGAGAGCGCTATTTCCATCAGAGCTGCTAAACTGCTAAGATTAAAGCCTGGAACTGCTGGTATCCACATTGCTAGGGGGGGAAGCACTTTTTGAGAATGAAGTCAACAGGGAAAAATGAGTTCCCAGGGGTAGAAGGAAAAAGCAAGAGTCCTGATGATGACATCTGTGAATCTGGATCCAGCCAAGCCCAGAGTCAACTGAATTCTGTTATTCTAAGTTACCTGAGCTCATAAATACCCCGTGATGCTTACACCAGTCTGAGTCAGATTTCCGTACCTTATAACTAAGGGACTTGGTATTCCCAGATCCCTGCAGCCTCAGCCTAGCATCTAAAGTTCTGGCTGGAATCCCAGTGAAGTCAGCTCAGAGACAGTGGTCATTCTGAACTCTGGGCGTGTGCTTCCTCTGGATCTTTCTCTTGAAACTGGCCACTCTCCTACCTGTGAGAACATTCCCAGACTCCCCAGAGGCCTAAGACAATAACCAGCCCAGAATTGTCCCAGGACATTAGCAAGCTGCCCTGCTCAAGTTAGCAAGGTTTCCTGTTCAGTGCAGGATTTCCCTGTGCTTGTTCATTTTTAAAACAAACAAACAGAAAAACCACCCTATCCCCTGACTCCAGCCTTCTCCACACATTCTGTGTGTTTGTTTCTTAAATAGATGCAATGTGCAGGACAATCTCAAAGAGATGAAGCAAAAGCAAACATGGTAAAATGAAAACATGAATGAATAAGGAAAGTATTGTAGAAAACAATCTAATCCAGTAACGTAAGTAACAATTCTAAAAACACCCACTTATCACAGACTCTGGTTTGATATGAGCAATATATGTAGATAATGCCTTAGAGTTGTACTTAAAGAAGATTAATTTACAAACAAAACAAGTTTTTTTTTTTTTAGAATTAAGCACTTGGTAGCACTGGTACATAGAAAAAACAACACAGTTCCCTGGGAATTTAGCATTTAACTCATCTCCCTCTGTCCTGTTCTGAGTCTTGCCCACTGCTGATTCTCTTTCTTTCTCTCCTTGCTTCTTTCACCCAACAGCCCCCAAGAAAGAAGATCTAAGCTGGGAAATCCTTTTTGTTGGTATGCCCTTTTTTTTTTTAAAAGATTGATTTATTTATTCATACAGAACTGGGGTACAGGCCAGAGATGTGGAGGGTGAGAGGCTTCACCAGAGACAGAGTGGGGAGCAGAACAGGCAGATCGACGAAGTACACTGCTGAGGGGAGCAGCGGGCGGGTCAGGAGAGGTCTGCCACGCCATGTGGTCACCTCCGGGGCAGGCGGGGATCGAACTCATGTGGAGGTGGCTTTAGCTTCTTAGTGCTGTGCTTTAACCCACTGCGCCACCAGGGAGGGCCGGGTATTCCCTTTTTAAAAACAACATCCTTCCTTGAATCTTAGAAAGAAGGTACCATCACTCTTATCCCCAAACAGTCTGATTCCTGGGTCTATCCCTCTTAGACATACCTATCTGTTGGGCAGAAAAGGGAGAGCTGGGTTTTCAATGTAAGGAATCTGCAGTAAACAGAATTATGCCCCCAACCCCACACCTATACTTATATTTAATCCTTGGAAATGATGAATATGTTAGGAAAAAAGACCTAGAAGAATTAAGGTTATGGATGAATTAATTTGCTAACCAGATGACCTGAAAATAGGGAGGTTACACTGGGTTACCAATGCCATGGCCGGAGTCATTACAAATGGGACCTGGACTTGAGTTGGGCGGGCTCAGAGAGGGGGCAGCAGCAGAACTCAGTAGCTTTGATGATGGAGGGATGGCAGTGGGCAGCCATAAGAAACTGGAAAAGATAAAATATTCTCCTTAGGCCTCCAGAAAAAAGGAACCAGCAGTCCTGCAATGTCCTGAGGCAGCACTTCCATTCTAGTAAGCTGTGAGATAACAGACTTGGGGGAACTATGTTTGTGGCATTAGCAGAGCTAGCAAACTAATCCAGAAGTTTGTCTGTCCTAAGTGACAGGATGTGAGAAATAACCCAACAGGTTACAGGATGCCCACCCCAAAGCAGGCACCTCTCTGTCCAGAAGAGAAACAAGGCTTTGTGACAGTAAGAAGTGAAGCAGGGGTCTTGGCAGTGGATGTAACCTCTTTCTTCTCCTGTCCTTTCTAGACCCTGGGAACATACAGGAAAATAGTGCTCTTGAGACAATATGGATTGAAGTATTCACCCAGTAATGTGTGTGCTCCAGATTTAAGCTGCCTTGATTGTCTGCTCTGTGCTGGGTATCTGGCAAATGAATACAAGTATCTATCTTTACCCTTTAGATTCTTTCAGGGAGAAAAAAATGAAACAAACAAACAAACAAACAAAAAAAACAAAGCAAGCCTTTAACACACTATGAAATGTGATTGCACCCTTCCTAACCAAACTAGCATCATTAGTTCAAGTTTTAGGAAACAGATGATGCTCAAAAGTAGACTAGGTCCTTCACCACTGGGGTTTTTATTTAAATTCAATATACCAGCAAGATACTTAGCCATGATTAATTTGTATTTATTAATTTATACTTAGTGAGCTCCACACAGGAATAGTAAAAGGTAACAGATAAACTCAGCATCTAGAAATGCCGAATCAAATAATTCTAAGGGTAATATACCCCTAGAGGGTATTTATGACTATACAGCAGTCAAATGACCTTAAATAAGAAGGTCTTTAATGACTGAAATTTGTTCATTACAGGAAACGAGGCAAAGCCCTACTGTCATTTCTCTGCTTATGAGAAAGACACACTCAAGTCTTGTGGGCAGTGAGCCAACGGTAATCCTCAAGGACAGAGCCCACTGCCATTTCTTACCACCTATAAGAGAAATGACTCAAAGATCAGAGAGAAAAATACCTCCTCTCCATAGCCCACGATCTTGGAGGTACACCCAGAGGTAGTCTGCATGCACACAGCTCTGTGGGTTGGTAAGACAACAGCCCCACAGCTCAACCTCAGCAGCCTCAGGCCCTCTGGCTGAGAAACCGGACTCACTGGCTCACGAGCCTGGTTGTAGGAAATGGCTGAGCTGCCTCACTGTCACCTCCCCCAACCCAACCTGAAGCCAGAGGTCACGAAACCCAGTGTCTTCAGGAGCCAAAAAATGAAGGCAGTTGGTCAAATGTAAGAAACACAGTCTCTGTGGCCGATCTAAGTTGGTGTTTGGTGAGGCATGGCTACGAAGGAGCATCACTTTTCCATCAAAGGAAGTAACAGCAAGCGGGATGATATATGGCATCCAATGAACCACCTCCATTTGGGGGGACCACATGGAGTGGTGGGAGCAGTGAGGAGTTAGATCGCATGGCCGTCTCCATGGGAGTGGCAGCTATTCTGTTCTAGGGAATGATGGACAAAACAGAAGTTTTTTTGAGACAGTCAGAGTACAGACATTTTGTGACATCTCGCAACTTTAAATGTTAGCAAAACAATCAATAGGGTTGATTTTTAAAAAATCTAATCTATGGAGAAAAGAAAGTATAAGTCAGATGTGGCAGTGCATAAAGACAGGAAACCCGAAGCTAACTTAGCCTTTTTTTTTTTCCCCAAAGATTTATTTATTTATGCATACAGAACTGCGGTACAAGCCAGAGGTGCAGGGGTGGTGAGAGGATTCACCAGAGACAGAGTGGGGAGCAGAATAGGTAGATGGACGAAGTACACTGCTGAGGGGAGCAGCGGGCGGGTCAGGAGCGGTCTGCTGTGCCATGTGGGTCACCTCAGGGGCGGGGATCGAACTCACACAGAAGAGACTATAGCTAGCTTGCAGTGCTGCGTCCTTACCTGTAGCACCACCAGGGAGGGCCTAACTTAGCCTTTAAATAAAGCAGGGCGATCACCTGAGTGGTAACAGGCTGGGGTGGGGGACTTTTCCCACGCTTACACACTCTGCCCCCACTAGGATTCAGGGTGCTGCGAGGGCTTCAGCGCCTTCCTTTTCTGAAGGTAAAAGTCTTCCAAATAATGCCAGCCCCGCGGTCACCAGGCTTGCCTTTCTTGTCTTTGGGGCTACTCCAATTCCCCACGCCGCCTCCCGGACCTGCTCTCTATTCATAGCACAATCCCTGTAATTGAAACGCAAGGTGCTGCCTGTGGTGGACACGGTGAGAGTCCGAGCCCTCGTTTCTGTTTCTAACATTGCTCAGCACACACTGACAGCTAGGATGGCAAGCTACTCACATGCTTCTCCAAATACCATGTCAGAACGTGTCCATCTGCTTAGCAAATTTCTAGCTCCAGAAACCACAGTACATATTGATGAAGAAAATACAGGCAGAGACCAAATTACCCATCTCTGGTCTCTCTTTCCCTGAAATATCAGTCTGAAGTATATCTCCATCTAAATCATGTACATGGTCAGACTTCATCTTAATATATCCACTGTCAAATGCTGTAAATTCCTCAGTCAGTGAACTGATTTGAAGAGAGAAATACCTATGTTGGCAATGGCAATTTCCCCTAAGAACGTCTCTACGGATTGTGGCAAGCCGTCATGCACAATCACCAAGTGAGAGAAGGCCTCACCACACTAACAGAGAAGGGCGCTGATGTGCACCCACTCTGGCCACACTTGGATGACTCCCAAAGAAGTCCTCTTTGCCTCAACTACAATGCTCTGCCCCCGAGCACACAGGCAGGTCTCCATGCACGGAGCTGCTTATTAACAGCCAGAGCTACAGAAGAATGAACTGGCAAGATGCAAGCTGGGAATTGAAGGAAGCTGTCCAATGAGGAGAAACATTACTGCTCTAGGAAAGCAGCTGCTGAGTCATGCAATCAGGGGGCTTCTAGGTATTGGACAGGAATTGGGAACAGGTGCAGTTCTGGGGTAGCAGAAGAACACTCCAAGGAAATTAAAGACAATAGTTTCACAAAGTGTATTTCCTCAGCCCGGTGGTAGGGGGTTATCTCTGGCCTCCAGGAAGCTTGGGGTCTTTATTTAGTGCATTCAAGAAAGAAGATAAGAGGAAAATAGCCTCTTCAGGAAGAATGGGGGAAAAGATGAATGCTCCTTTATAAGCTTCTTAAAGGCACACCAAGTCAACTGGCCACCATGGGACTTGGCATCCCTGCCCCGCTCTCTAAACAAACAAGGAGGTCCAAGTCTGCTCAGAGTGGGCCTGGAGAGCAGGAGGAGCAACACCAGCCTGGGGAAGGCAGGATGCAAAAGTGATCACATTTCCTCCCACGGAGAGCCAGACCTCGGCGGACATCCTGCTCACCCCGCTGCCATCCAGCGAGCTCCTGGCCCAGCCGGGGAACCCTGAGGCTTTCAGGGCTTTTATCGTATTAGAAGCATTTTTCTCATCATAACCGAGACCTTTAGGATTGCATTAAAAAGATGGTTAATTTTCTTAAGCTTCCTTTTAAACACAGAAATAGGATTAGAAGGATAACACGCTCAGATGCAAGCCCATTATTTGATTATGCCTAAACCTAATCCTGCCTTCACCTTGGCCTGCAGAGTCTCCATTTTGGGGTTTATTGGTTGATAATGCCAGGGCTGTCAGATACTATTACTTGGGTAGTATCTGTGGCTACGTGCTCTTTTCTTCCACTATCATATGTTGAATTGAATTATAGGAGAAGTTCTTAAAGCCTCACCATCTTTTAGACCTTTGTACCGACTTTCAAAGGAGAATGACTGAGTCAGCCCCCCAAAGAATGGGCACTCTCTTCAGTAAATTTCATTTCTAATAATGCTTCAGAGCAAAGGCTTATAACCAACCTTCCATCTTTTACAGGCTGTTCTCTTAAATCATTAAGGATGAGGGACCATGTACTGAGGTTAATAAAAAGACCAGGGGCAGCAGCTATAGGTGGCCTAGCATTCTCTACCTCGTCACTTTCCACATTACACTAAAGTAATCTGTCATATCATCTCCGTTAGGTGAAAACTGTGTCCCACTGATAGACAGTGACAAATGTGATTTCTGGTCCAAACCTGCTTTCAGTAAGTACGTGTGTAACTGAAGTAGCAATTGCTATCGTCTCTCGTTGACAGGCAAGATCACCCTAATCTCACTGGCTCACTCAGTGGAGAAGTGAATGGTCTTCCCAGCTTCGAATCCTACTAGGTTTGTAGAAATCCACGAGCACAGAGCAGCCCACCCGCCCAGCCACCCCCGCCTCGCCCCCCCTCCCGGTGCGGGCAGCTGCCGGACACTTTACCTGTCGCAGTGGTTGCACTTAAAGGGCTTTGCACCTGTGTGTTTCCTGTAGTGCCTTGTGAGCTCATCACTTCGTGCAAAACGCCACTCACACCCTTCCCATGAGCACTTGTAAGGCTTCTCACCTGCAAGAAGAGACAGAGGGTCACGGTCAGCACCCCAACCGAGTCGCCACACCTGCCAGACAGCCTTGGGAAGGGCTGCGCGAGGGTCTCAAGGGACATTTCTTAACACGGGACATCACATTTTTGTAGTCTCCTAGTGTTGTTGTTTTAAAGATTTATTTATGCACACAAGGGCTAGGCTACAAGCCAGAGGCGCAGGGGTGAGGATTCACCGGAGCAGAGTGGGGAGCAGAACAGGTAGACTGACTGGGCTCTCCCAGACTGGGCTGTGCCACATGGGTCACCTCCCTGGCTGGGACCGAACTCGTGCTGCAGTGGCCGTGGATAGCTTCACAGTGCTGCACTTTAACAGGATGCACCATCAAGGAGGGCCCTGTTTCTTTTGTTTGTTTTTTGAACCTTCCAAGTGGTTTCACAGATCCTCAATTTGGGGGCTATGGCCTCAGTTCCCAGAGTCAGCGCATTTCCTTTGATGGGTGAGGGATCAGTTTTTATTTATTTTCTAGTCCCTGGAGCACTTGCCCCCGCCCCCCCCCCCAAGTCCATGCAGAAAGGAAATGTGCTATTTTCATCCGAACCACAAATGCTTCTAATTCTATTTTTCTCCAGAACCTCCAGTAAATTTACCATTTCAGCCTTTTTAGCCACCTCCTTCCCTTCCCCTCCTACCACAGATGGTAGCCAGGTAGCTGACTGACAAGCTCAGGTCTCCCAGAACCACAGATTCTTCCAGTAAGTGTGAGTGGACGAGCAGTGGGGAGAAAGGGTGACAATTCAAGAGTAAAGCAACAATCACTTGCCTGTGGGTTCCTGGAATTTATGTAAAACACAGACACAAGAGTCCTATTCAGGAAGCCCTTAACTTCAGGACTCCAAAGGGTTTGCATTAGAGAGTGGCGCACATTAATAACAAAGTACTTTAAAAGTCAATTGGAAGAGCAAGGTTTTAGCCATAGTGAGGCTGTTACAAGCATGAAATTTAAGCTCTTATGCTCAAGTGACCTTTTCACACAGTAAATACAGATGGAGGGATATCTAAGAGAAAGTACATGACTTTTCCTTAGACCAATTTTTATACGCCCATCAACGTCTGTCACCAAACATGACAAATATTTACTCTTCCCACCGTAGGGTGGACTGGTTCTAATTAAGAAGAAAAATAATCTTTAAAAGCCCATGAAATCATGAGGGTGACTGAGACAGTACTAAGAGCAGGTGCATATAGAAGTCTGGCTCTGAAGCCGGCATTCCCGTGCAGTCAGCTCTGCCCCATCTAACTCTGGGCTGGGGAGACACCTCTCTGTACCTCTGACTTCTGAGAGATAATCATATATATACCTCAAAAGGTTTGGATAGGATGTACCGATTTATGTATTCCATATTAATTAAATCAGTGCCTGCGCATATAAACTTCACATGCTGGTAAACTGCCAACCCCAAGTTTCAGAAGACACAGGTGTCAACAAAGTACTATGGCACCCCCATTACGTCTCCATTTTTAACAGCCACCCCTCAGTAGGAAGCACTTAAGGAACTGCCTGTCACCACACCTGACCCACTTTCTCCTTTCTACCTCTTTCCTTCCTTTAAACCCAACTACAAAGTGTTCGCGATTCTCTATTTGTATCACCTAGAATCGAACCAAACATGATTGAAATTTTATTTCATTAAATTGGTGCCCCAGTGAGCCACTGCTCTGTGAGACCCATAGAGAAGGGGAAGGAGAAACACAGGCGTTTCTTTTCAAGGGAACTGAGAGGACATGAAGGAGGCTGGGAGCACAGGAGGAAACCCATTCAGTTTGGGAAACCGGGGAAAAAGAAAACCACCGAGCGGTGTTAAAAGTTCACCCTCTGTAAGGGCCCTCCCTGGTGGCGCACCGGGTTAAAGCACAGCACTGAGAATGTAAAGCCGCTTTCGCATGAGTTCGATTCCCGCCTGCCCCGGAGGAGACCACATGGCGTGGCAGACCTCTCCTG